TAATAAAACGTTTTTAGCGAAATATCGTTGTCATTATTACTAATATTTGAAAAATTTGTTCCCATATTTATTTAGCCATGCCCATATACAGGTCTGGTCGTACTAAACGTGGAGGTGGTAGAAATGTATACGCCCAGTTGAAGAATGCGCGCGCAAGCAAACGCCGTACACAGACAGTCAAACTGGACGACTGGGCAATAAATCTCAGCTGTTGACAAGTGGCTGACAAATTGCCTAGCAGTGCAGTGCAGCAATGCGGAATTTTATGTGATTAAGGTAATTTTAATTTATTATAGGCACCTTCTATTTATCATTCATATTACACTTGCGAATGGGAGAAATAAGAGGGATATTTTGTTTATTAATATTATTACAACATGGCATTTTGGAGACCCTTTGAAAAGGAACAAAACGAAATTTACCATCAGTATAATAAAATTGTTTGAGGACATAAAAAATTAAATATGTTGTTGGCCAAATGAACATATTATTGTGTACATACAGACTGTTACAAATTCGCTTCTTACTACAGAGATCTCGGAAACGGTAAGAACTATGAAGTAGCTTAAATGGGGGCAAAGTTGCGTAATCAGGAGACCAACAAAATCGAGGCTAATATGATTAGTTTTCGAAATATTTGAAAAAAAACCGAAATTTTTGAAATCCGTTTTTGTTTCATTTCAGCCTTGTTTGGGGTGACATTGAAAAAAGAAGAACACTTTCTCATGGCCACTTTTTGCCCTCTATCGAATGGCACAATCAATTTTTATATGTAAAGTTTCGTTTCTCCAGGACCATCATCAACTTCATTTTTTTTTAATACGACCCTAGAAATTTTATTATATTTTTTGCAAGCTTTAGGCTTTAGGGACGCCTATGAAGATCATTAAATTTTATTGCTAGGCGTTTTTATACATGTTCAACTGACTTCGGAAAGACTATAATATAAGTAATAATAATTACTCAAATTCAAGTGTAATATAAAGCTAATTTCGAAATATTCCCAGTACTGTTTTTTTTAAATTCATCTTCACAATATTCTTCATTACTTCGTTCACACATTTTTTAAAAGAAGTCAAGAATTGTAATACGACTTCACGCTGTGGATTATGCGAGTTGACGACGCAGTAATTAAATAATTATTTGATTAATATCGTAGACGAAGTTTTGCTAGCCTAGACAAAGTATTATTAACAAGAATGTGCACACACACCACGGGGCCAATGACCTCTGCCGGCTCTGTCTAGGTCTAGATATGTCGTACGTAAATAAATTTATTATGCCTGTTACTGGTACACGCAGGTTAATATTAAAACCATTATTGATCTTAAATTATTTTCTTCACAATATCTCTTCGTGCTAACCAACGGCTTGGCTTGTAAGCATTAGAAAGCAGCATTCCAAGTTTTTGTCCGCACTTTCGTCTGGCCTCAGTCTGCGGCTAATATATCTTGTGACGCGACTGTTACACATTTAGAGGCTCTGACGTGTTGTGTAATTATCTAATTTTTTTTTAATTTACCGCATGGCTCGTATTTATTCGTCGTTTAGGGTCCGAAGAGCAGCTCGTCACAGGACCGGCACGATATCGAGTTTTAGAAAAGGTCCTGAGGTTAAAAAGCAGTGGCACTTTTTGTAGGATTTTCATTCTGTGGATCGTCTGGAGATTTTAATTTTTACCAATTTGTTGACGATGTACTAAGAAAAGATTCAGCTCAGTGTCGCTTGAAAAAAGGTACTTGGTCCAAGACAAAAGTCTATACGTAAGTCTTACGTACTAAAGCCGGGAATTTCGTATTTTATTTATCGTTATTACTGGCCCAGACAGACGAACACGACTTGGAAATTCCACAGAAACAAAATGCATTCTAATATCGGGATTGTGTATATATAGATACAATGAGTTTTAGCTATTCACAAAGGTATGTGAATTACAAATTAATTCCATTAGTATAATGTCGGACATGTACTAAGTATTTAATTTAATAAAAGAAATATGGCGGAGCAGACGAGAGTTCTGGGTTTTTTTAAGCTGTTGGGAGTCTCAAACAACGATCATTCTTGTAAGACGGAGTCTACAAAGGCAATATATTTTATACATGAACTAAAAGCAACAAAAAATGAGCTGATACACTTTTCGTAGCTATTTCATTTCTCTACAGAACAATTGGTTACAATGAAATATGTTCCTTAATTTTTATTTACGACGAATTCCAATGATTAATAATCACAGCCCACAAAAAACAAAAAGTATCGGATCTGGTATTCAGACCCATGTATTTCCATGTATTTTTTTCAGCTGAATCCGAATCTGCCTTCAGTTTTTAAGTAATTTTAATAAAAAAATAATAATAAAAATTAAATTAAATAAAAAATAATCCTTTAAATGGAAAAGAGAGGAAAGGAAAATTATTATTATTTTTTGTTTAAATTACTATGAAATTGACCAAAGTTCGAGAGCGATTTTCTCAGAAACCGTTAAAGATAACGATTTGAAACAAGAGTACCTTTTTAACGTAAAACAGTTCGGGAAAACGGAATTTGCTGTCCAATTTGTTAAAAAGTCAAAGATGAAAAAGTTACACACGCAAAGTACCAAGGGCCCCCCCGTACCCACCCCAATGGACCTTGTGGAAATAAATGGATTAGTCCATCAAATTGCTCATCAAAATTTAGCTGTGTATACCATTTATCACAACGCGATTGAGAGATATTGCAAAAAAATGATTTCCATTCCTCCCTCTTCAATGGGTCCCTGTGCCCTTAGGAAGCATTTCCGGACCCATGTTCATATGAACTTTTTTACTTAGTTTTGATCATAGAATCGGCCTGTTCAGGGTTGGCAGCTAGTTATGAGACACCCTGTATATATAAAGGGCGAAAATTTCCGAATATTTCTGAGGCGAAATTGAAAGAAGGTGTATTCGATGGACATTAGATTCGGACATTGTTCAAGGATGCAACATTCATCACTATAATGAGTAGCGTTGAGAAGAGTGTTTGGACTGGTTTCATAGTTGTAGTGACACATTTTTTAGGAAACAACAAGAGTCCTAATTACGAAGAAATTGTATTAAAATTGGTAAAAGACTTCCAAGACCTGGGATGTTTGATGGATTATGGTTATAGCGAAGAAGAAGGCGAACAATCTCATCAGGATATGAAAGTTATAGAATAACGATATCAAGGAACATGGGATGACATGTTCGCCGATTTTTGTTGGTTGTTAAAAAGAGAAACGAAAAATAGAGGGACTAAACGAAAGCGTAACCCTTTACGAGTGAAAAATCATACGTCTAGTGAGATGGTAGAATAATTTGACTTTTTATAACTTTCGTCGATCGTAAATGACGTTTTATGTGAATTTTGACCTGTTTTTTGAATTTTCCGGAAAATTTAGACCCGTTGGGCTAAATCTGAAGGCAGATTCGGATCCAGAGGAAATACGTGGGTCTGAATACCAGATCCGATACTTTTTCTTTTTTTGTGTGTAATTTTCAATGATCTTTTGAGGTATCAAATTTTGTTTTATAAATAATAACTTAAGTTGAGCATTATACAGTTTCCAATAATGTATCATTGTTATTTATAATCTGTAGCTTAGGACCTTAAGGAAGAAGTAAAGAAACCGCAGCCGGAGTTTTGGTTATTTAGAGCGATATAAAAATGTGGGAAAGCAGCAATTCGTGAATTTGCGAAAATACGCGTCCAATCAAAAATTCGTTCGATGTAGGATCTGCGTCCGTCACCTGGGTTTTTTGCCGACTACAGTTGGCTCTGCAAAGTTTCTTTCCGAATAGAGGCCGATATAAATTTTTATGTAAATGAGGAATAGCCGAAATGTATTATTTTATGATCCGAACCGTTACATAAGAATCGTCTGACATAAATAATGAATGAATATTCGCCTGGTTTCGACTAAAATCAAACAGTTTAATGAACTGGCAGGCAACAAAAAAAATCGCGAATGACTATATGTAATTCGGCAGTCTGACTTCTCCTTAAGGGAGCCCCAGAGAAACTAGACAGTCGCTTCCCCCACATCTATTACAATTTTAATCCAACATTTGGGTTCCTAGACCTTCCTTGGATTTGGCAAGTGGCAACAGACGATACACAAAACTTGGGCTTACACATCACCATGCAAAGGAATGCTCTATGCAGCTTTATTTCCCACGATTTAATATCACACTTCCTGCAAATAGACGAAAAAAAAATCGATTTTTTGACACTTGCATTTGAAAATGAAGGCCCTGCGAATTTTTCCTCGTTCGCTGGGCTTTTTTATTGAAAAAAATACGTCACGCGGTCGATAACAAAAACGCCCGTGCGTGTTTTGCATAAAAAGAATAATTGCCCGCGATAAAATGGAACAAACGCAAAAGTCCAGCCTATTAAATAAATTTTTTATAGCCTCCACAAACTACACAGTTCGCGATAAAAAAGCGAGCTCGGAAATGCTACCGGAAGCGCGAAAATTAGTTACAGACGGCGATTAGTAAATGAAAGAAAAAAAACTTACATTCCAAGTCCTATGGGTACTGCGCCGCAACTCCAAAGGAATGTAACAGCGGGGTGGTAGTCCAAAAAGCACGAAACAACCTCGCACAACGTATCATGAGACTGCTTCAGCGCGACTGTTTTCTTCTTTCAATATTATCGCATAGTAACCAACCGACAAACGTTAAAATCTTTAATGCGCGAACCCGATGGTGCGAAGTGAGACAGGTATATTCACGTCACCCGGACAAGCGCAATGGGTACATTCGCGATCCGCGGAGAGGGGAATTCGTGGATTTTAGGCGGTTTCTACCCTAAAACGTGTGGTTTAACCCGCAAATGCCCTAAAACACCTGTGCCGGGGCCCCTGCGAAAATATGCGTCCAAAAAAGTCCGTAGAATTTGACGGAAAATTAACGAAATTCGAGCCCGAACCTCGGCAAGTCGGAGGCGAGACGAGACGCGAGAGGAATGCCGCAAAATGGCTGCTATCTCCAGGCCAGTTAATAAAGTACGCGTTTCCTTATTTAATTTTTGAAAATTACACCCCGCCGTTGGTGGAATGTGCATGGAAATTGCACAATTACGTGCAGTATCGAGTGCCGCACACGACACGCACGGAAATGTTCCAATTTCTTCGCAAACGTAAGTTTCCACTAGCTCTAAGCGCGGGCCCCTTTGGGGGGTTCTAACGCCGCCCTTTCGGCTTCGAAACTGCTTTAATTCGCATTTTTTTCGTATTTTTCACCTCGGACATTCCATTTGGTGCATAAAAGTTCACATCATTGCGGTCGTTAATCAAGTACGTCGGAATACGCATCAGGGTGGCATATTTTCCCTCTGGACACCCCCTTTTGACGTTTTAAGGGTCGAATACTACGAGTAATTGGTTCCGAGAAACTTAGCGACCTTTCCAGCCTAGGTAGGCGAGGATTTCAAACAAAATAGAAACAAAGCTCCATCTCGCAAAAGAAAAATTATTCAAATGTGTTACCTGAGGCGGTCTTATTTTTAAATATCAAAAAACGTAATATTTCAAAACAATTTTTGGTGAATTACGACCAACGCAATCCAAACTTCACAACGAAATTATAAAAGTTCACAGAAAAATCGTACAAACGTTTCCAGCACCCCATTTTTCTAATTCATTCACCACACACGCCGCCTTCTCTGTATTTCACCTTAAGAAAAAAATCAACTCGCAATATTTAATTTTTTTTAAATTATTTCATTCCTACATAGCCATATTTCAACAAATAACTCGTCAAATATTATTTTAAATATTTTTTTAGGGGTGCAACACCTGGACTGGCACAAGAAACTTAGTTCCTCATTTCTCGATTTGGTGTAAGAAGAAGATAATTCTACAACACCGATTTTCGTCCCAAAATAATCACCCGAAAGTTCAAAATTGTGCCAAGTTGGCTATGGAATGGACACTCAGAAGTAAAGGGTTTTCAGGCAGGGGTTGAGATTTAAACATTTATCAAACGTTGCAGCAGGTAAACTATGGGATAGACTATATTAACTTAATTTTATTAATGCCGACCTCATGATTGCTGTTAGAAAACTACCCTTGTGATTAGGCTTAAGAAATATTACTGCAAAAACTTCCGGTAATGTACTTATAGTTAAAACAAACCAAGTTATGGTCTACAGTTTATATCGCCATCAGTTTGAAGGGTTGAATACAAGGTCTTTAACCTGCCTACTATGTTATAACGGTATATCTGTCAAGAGGTAGCTTCCCTCGTTCAGCGAAGCATGGTGTCTAGTTCAAAGATTACCCAGGCGTTTTTTGGATAAATTTATTTTTGTGTACTGACCTTCCATAACTTCTTGTAAAGGTAATGTTTTCTGAAGCTGTACTACTTACTGTCGAAGACTTGTTCGTTTATAAATTGTCCACCTACAATGTCGTATATCCTATATCTATAATTATGTTATTAAAAAAGAAATTATCTGTTAAAAATTTTACACAAAAAGTATAACAACTCCCCCTTAAACGGAAAAGTTACCCGCAAATCTAGGGTAAATCTAAATCAATGCTTTTATTGTAATTTAAGTCTACTTCCTTTGTTGTTATGCCTTACATCCTTATACAGGGATGATATATCTATATTTATGTTACCAGAAAAGTTAATTTATCTGAGAAAATTTGCAGAGGAAAATCTAACAACTCCCACCTAAACAGAAACGTTATTTGCAAAGGTATATCTAAAGTATATTACTTTTGTTATTATATCCATTTAGAAAACATTTGAAGGAACTTATGAAAAATAAGATGTAACAAACCCTTGTCACTTATACCCTTGGTATATACAAAAGTACAGGACTTTTAGAAACAGTATACTATTATGTTTTATGTTATTTTACCAATTAAAGAAAAATGGGCAATAGTCTAACATTTTCTATAAGTTAAAGTACAGAAAAAACAATTAAAGATATTGTAGGCGTTTGGAATTATTATCGATGGTAAAGGTGTATTCCGTTTTAAGTCAAAATCAGTAACCATTGGACAAAAATGAAAAATGTAAAGTACCAAAGTAAAATAAGTATTTTTAATTGCGGTGACAAAACAGTAAATATAAAAATACTGAATCTGAGCAATGCTTTGTATTATAAAAATAGGCACATAGGCTGTAAAACAATACTTTTTGTTTAATTTTTCCTTTTGTCCTTTGTATTAAAACTACATTTAAAATATATTATGTTTTCGTTAAAGTAAATTTCTCATCCTTAAATTATTGGACGTCTTTTTATTCCATTTGCTATTATCTATTACTGTGAACTGTTCTGGACAAGTTAAAAGCCAAAATGGACTCACAAAAATTCAAGTCAGGTAAAATTCACTTCAATCAGGTTCTCAGTCCACTTAAGCCTGTACATTCTCAATGTGCATCGCACAGCGCATTAAGCGCGTATTTTGCAAAACAGTTACGAAAAAAGCAGACGGATTTGGCGTAGAAGAAACGCCAGATAAGTGTCTAGAGTAGCGGCTACGTCAAGCCGTACAGGGTGATGGTAGGTCTAGACCGTTGTCCCTTGTACACATTGTCGAGTTTTAGGTCAATGTGAACCCAAACATTCCACGGCACGCATAAAACTTGATACAGCGCTATACGCGGTTGACACGGAATATGTACGTTATCAAAAGACCTAAATAATACTGCTCCATCGAGGTGATTACATATTTGGTGGTTTGGATAATACGGATCCGTTAAAAATGGGAAAAATACAAAATTACGTATAACGTTTGCATTGTTAAGTACAACTCACCAGTATTCGTTGTTCCAGCAAAAATGGCCCTAAAAATAAAAAAAATACGTAAATATGTCGTATCAAAAGTAAGAAGATAACGATTTGAAACAAGAGTACCTTTTTAACGTAAAACAGTTCGGGAAAACGGAATTTGCTGTCCAATTTGATAAAAAGTCAAAGATGAAAAAGTTACACACGCAAAGTACCAAGGGCCCCCCCGTACCCACCCCAATGGACCTTGTGGAAATAAATGGATTAGTCCATCAAATTGCTCATCAAAATTTAGCTGTGTATACCAAATTTCTTTCATTTATTACAACGCGATTGAGAGATATTGCAAAAAAATGATTTCCATTCCTCCCTCTTCAATGGGTCCCTGTGCCCTTAGGAAGCATTTCCGGACCCATGTTCATATGAACTTTTTTACTTAGTTTTGATCATAGAATCGGCTTGTTCAGGGTTGGCGGCTAATTATGAGACACCCCGTATATTATTATATAAAAAATGTACTGCATGTTATTTTGACTTTTTTATTTGAAGACCATACCCAATTCTTTGAATTACATTATATAGATACACTTATATATTACCTCTTTAAGAATAATTAATTTTGTAGAACACATTTGAATACATTTTTTTTAAGTAGTTCCCATCTGTCGAGCTGATATCATTAATCCTTCAATGGGGGCATGGAATCTGCATGAAATTTTGTTGGAATGTGGAAAACCCCGACCACCCTATTGCACAAAAACCGACGCCGATCGAAATATAAATTTCCTCGATCGCCTCGCGGCAGTATATTTAAGTTTCCCAGACTGGCGTAGACCGTAAAAATGGCGGACTAAATATCTGGCGGCGTAATTAGGTCAATAAACTCATTTTCCTATCTCTCGATCCTTGCGCCAATAGCGCTCAAATTAATCTATCTATCCGTTTAATCTATAGTGTTTTCGCTGATTTGCTTATGTATTTACTTTATTAGTTTAGTATATAAGCGAAATATTTAATGTTCAAATCTCATTCATCAGCATTTGATATCACCTATTATTAGGTATAGAAATAATTGGTTTCTTTGTTATACCTATTTTATTTTTAGTCTCTTCGACGTAGATTATTTAAATGTCGTACCAGCTACAAGTCAAAAATCTAACAAAACATTTAACGTTGAATGCATCACGGGTGTTATAGGATAATAGTAGTACGCTTAGAGCATTAGATATTATCCGTATAACACCCTAGATATTTTAATTATTGCAATCGATGATTAATTTTGTACATACGAACAACATAGTTCTTTTTAAAATTTTTGGATTTCGACCGACTGGGATTAGATTCATTGGATTTAACCGGTTTTGGCGTTTTAACCATAATATTTAAATTGTACAATTTATTGTTGAAATATACTGCGCAAATTTTTCAATAAAATAACTGGATAATTACAATGGTTTTATTTAATAAAAATTGTAAAAACTTGTGTATTTCTAACAGTTATTTATTGGAACCTGAGTTGGTGTCTCAATGTCGTTGTTCATAGATTCTTTCCAGAAATAAATATATTTATGTAACCTAATCTAAGTCAACTTTGAAACTGTTACATTTGCATGCTTTTGGAGTGACAAACCTCTATTTTTACAGTTTTTATAATTATATAACTACATACAAATAATAAAAACTACATAATTTGTACACCTCTATTCCCAATTAAATCGCAAATTAAAAATATTTTATTCATTTGCGAAACGACATCTGCAATAAGATACATAGTAGCAAATATTTTATTTGTCCATTGTTACATTGATTGAATATCGGATCTACAGATCAATGTTCGTTTCCATAAAACTTCTTGTTTGTCGTCAAATGCAGGTAAATTCAGCTTATTGGATACAGGACTGTATACCTATTGGATATACAGCATGGTTTTGTATGGTTGAAAATGTATGTAGTTTTTCAGTACAATTTATACAGACTTATTTACATTTCGAAGCAAAATATTGAAGTGAAGTTCAAGATTTAAAAGTTCTACACTACTTATTTAAGTGTTAGTTACAAAATATGTTTTATTACCTTGAGGAACTAAGTAAAGCGTCGGTTCTATTTAATTAATACGCTAGATTACATATTATTTTAATAACTATTGTCTGACGAAAATAATAAATAAATTATGTTAACTAGCGAGCAAGATGTAAATTATAATTTGAACTTTTACATGTTACTTTTTTACCTACTTCAAAACGAAACTTAATATATTTTTTTTTAATTTACCTTTTTACCTAATTACGGACAGTTTATTTGCAAGTAACGTTAATTGTTATGTTATAACTTGAACTGTAATTATTATGATAAAAACCATTACTGTTTATGTTTAGAAAAGTGGATAATTATACGACTTCGTGCAGCAATATCTTCCTATGGATAAACTCACAAGTAACTCTTCCCTAATACTAAAAAAACAATAATAAACGCATGTTAAATACTTTGTTATTGCAGATTATTTACAAAATAAATAAAACATTCCGCAAATGAAAAATTAACATTAATAGCAGTTATTATTTCATATCCATTTGCATTAACTATTCTCTTTATTGCCATAGGTATTACTTGAACGTCTGATAGAATTTAATTCAACAAAAATACATATATTTTTGAAAATTTTAACACCCTGTATCTCAAATACCGAGTCCCGCAAGAAAAAAGTTTATAGTGAAAACTCTACTTATTTTTGGTAATTAATACAGTCCTGCAGTTTCTGTATTTAAAGTGAAATCACCCTGTATATTTCTATTACCTATCAGGTATAAGTAGTTATATAAGAACAGCAGACATACAACGTAGCTAATTTAAATCCACTTTTCCTTAATTATAGTAATCAGATGTAGGTATCTCTTTCTTTTTTCGTAGTTTAATTTTTTTTTCTTAAAATATAATTAGAGTAAGAACAAAAAATAATTAAAATGTTAAAAACATCTCAGATACCAAAGCGTCGGTCCGCCATTTTGTCGAACCGAACCAAACCAAACAAATTCAGCTATTAAGTTGCATTTTTTTAACTACTACCCAAAAATACACATTACTTCAATATATGCATGTTTAGTGGATTTTCTAAAATAAAATATTGTGCCATTTATTTACTTTGCTCCCTCAGGAGTACCTCAGGGCTCACACCATGGCCCTTTAGATATTACTTCTTCTGTTTATTAACGACTTTTGTCAAATGACGGTTGATTGTAATGAGCTGTTATTT